GCGCGAATGCCATGGTGTGCGTTTGCAACGCAACCTACTGCGACACGGTGGATCCGGTCTCCCTCCCTGACGTCGGCTACTATGTCAAGTACACAACCAGCAGGGACGGCCAACGCTTGGAGCGGAGCGAAGGGCAAACAGACGCCACCTCAGGAGCTTCAGGTAAACCTGGGGGAGTGGGGTTGGGCTAGATGACCTACAAGGGTCCCTTCGCACTCTGTTGTGATGTCCGTTCTGTAAATCCTTTCAGGTGGAATTTTCTACACCTACAATCCTTTCGTTCAGTACCAATACATCAAAGGCTTTGGAGGGGCATTCACCGACGCTGCGGCCATCAACATCCTGAAGTTGTCTTACGCAACCCAAAACCAACTCCTCCGCTCTTACTTCTCGGAAGAAGGTGAGAAAATTGGGAAGGACCGCTTGATGAAAGCTAGCAGCTCAAGGAAAGCTAGCGTCCTGAGGCTCTTCCTCCCACCCCCCTTGTTTATGGCAACTCAAAAACAGGCATAGGAATGCTTTACGAGTTGACACTATCTTTCTCAAAGCAAGGATTAAATTCCGGCAGGGTTACGCTGCGTTTTAAAAGCAAGAATAGCAATCTCTTTTAGGCATACCGTCTGAACAATCCAGAAAGTATTCTGTTTTTTTTTTTTTTTAAGTCCTGTTTTACTGACTTTATGCACCAGCTTTTGATGAGGGTGGGAAAAATGCAAGGTAAATTTATTTTATTTATTTTTGTCAAGCGATGGTAAGATAACAGGTATAAGTATAAACATAGTTATGAATACAACTGGATGGATGCATATAAGAAAAATAAAAAGAAGTTCTGCTTTTACTTTTTCTTTTTTAAATAAATTTTTATTGCGTTTTCCACCAATACAATTCAAATCATATTCACATTTTCAACAGCCTTTTGACATCTACAAGTATTATTATCTTCTACTACTGTAAATCCTAATACATTTAATATACATCTGCCAATAATTGTTATCTTTATAATTAGTTCTATCTTATATACTTACATATTTTACATATCTACACATCATTTTCTCTTACGGTCTCTTACATTTTAATCTCATTTCTTATATCTATTCTCTACCCATTCATACCGTTTGTGTTTTTTCATTTTTAATTGACTTGATTTATCCGCGGAATGCTCCACCTATTGGAGGAAGCGAACACTTCGGTGAAAATATGTTTCAGTGAGAACCGGTTGACTGAACGGCATAGCATGAAAGAAAAAAAAGCATAGAAGGAGAACTTACTGAAAATGTTTTATCGAGGGTATCTCTCCCCAGTCAGACTGGCTAAGATGTATAAAAGTTAATCCCAAAAATGTTGGAATTGCTCAACGGAATTCCAACATACTATCATGCTTGGTGGAGCTGTAAAAATGCACAATAGTTCTGGCATAGGACAGGGAAGTGGCTGGAAGAAATGCTGGGATTTAAAATAGATCAGAATGCTTTTTATTGGGAATTATACCCCAAAAATACAATAAGGATGAGCTTTATTTGATAATGCATGTTATCACTGCAGCAAGAATGGGATTTGCCCAGAAATGGAAGGAGAAAGAAATACCGAGTGAGGATGAAGTAATACAATTCTGATATGCGCTGAAATGGATAGGCTAACCTTAGAGATGAAAAATAAGGACAAATCGGAATATTATACAATTTGGAATAGATTTTACCACTGGTGGGGACAGAAAGGACTTAAGATGGAAAAAAAATTATTGAGAGGGTAAATTAGAGTATGAGATGAAAATAAGACTAAGGATCTTGGAGGATGTAATGTAGGTATGAATAAATGTATATAGGTGTATAGATAAAAACTAATGTATATAGGAATGTATATACTCATACAGACCAAAAGTCAAAACCACTTCACCACGTTCAATGTTTTCGATTGTTATGTTTAATAAAAATTTAATAAAAAAGGGAAAAAAAACAAGGGGAAGGAGAAGGAATAAGATGACCTCTGATAAAGAACTATATTTTTATTTTTATTTTATTTTATTTTAAAACAAACAATCCACCTTCCCTTTAAACAGTGTGTTGTCTGGGTACCAATATCTTGTGCAATAACAAATACAGTTTACACATATTGTATTCGTATTGATTCTCTATCCTTACTTAATACTGATACACACGATATGTCTAATTAGTATAACAATCCCTATCTTACCACATTTGGTTCTGTTAGCATGTTTTTTATATTTCACTCATCTTTTTTTAATTTCTAATTCCCATATTTCTAAGCCATCGATTAAAACAATTCCCATATCAAATAGTATTTGGTTTGTTCCTTCTCTTTAATTGCAAGTGTTAGCCTGTTCATTTCTTACCCATTCTAATATTTTCCGGATCACTTTCGCATCAGTGGAAACCTCTACACTTTTCCAGTTTGATGAGAGAGTATCGATGGCATTATTATTATTCTTTTGGTGGACGTAAGTTTTATATCCTTTTTTTCTTCTTTTTCTGATTGTGAAAATTAGAAGACCAGAATTTTTTTCCTTTCTCTCTCTCTCCGCTTCTGCAGGAAGTGAGTACAATTTGCTGCGTTGGCCCATTGGTTGCTCCGACTTTTCCACGCGGCCGTACAGTTACGACGACCATTGCGTGGATGACTTCGAACTCAAGTGTTTCGAGCTGGCCCCCGAAGACACCAAAGTTAGGGTGAGTTCGGCTGGACTGAACGCACACCCACAAGGGGCTTCCAGGTTGGGTCGCAGGTGGTTTCTGCTTTGCAGCTGAAAGGATGTTCTCCCTGTGTGCTAATTTGAGCGGTGGGCTCCTTGGCGCTCTCTGAGCTTGGTGGTTTCCTTGCAGACATTTCATGACCCAACTAGGTAACATTATCAGTGCTAGAAAGAACCTTGTGGGACCCCAGTGCTTACTTCCCTCCATGCAGACTTAGACCCATTAAGGACTACTTGTTGAGTACGGTTTGTCAGCCAGTTGCAAATCCATCTGGTGGTGGTGCTGTCTATTCCACTTTTTTTCTAGCTTACCAAGAAGTAGGTTGTGGTCTACTTTGTCGAATGCCTTGCTGAAATCTAAGTTTATTATGTCCACAGTATTTCTCTGGTCTACTAATTTAGTCACTATGTTGAAGAATGCTGAAGACAAAGTGATAAATTCTTTCTTCTCACGACACGCGGACAGATTCAATCCCAGTTTCTATTGGGGAAATGTGAGCGCCCCAAACCAAGCTGAAAAATGTCGATCGGTTGGGTCGGTAACCGTTTTACAACTGCTACAACTTAACGACCATAATGGGCAGGCTCCATGGTGGTCATAACGTGAGGACTATCGACAGAGCTCTGGGATCAACATGGTCGAAGTCAACA